CTGTGATCAGAGGAGGCCTCCTGCAGCCACACCAGCAGCTGAAAGATCTGCAACCAGCTAGTAAACAGAACCAACCACAGCAGCAGATCTGGACCGCTAACCAGCTGGTTAAACCTCTGACAGAATCAACAGGACCGGGCCGCGTTCTGAACAGAGCCCGGTTGAGATGCGCAGCACGAAGCCTGGCTGCCTCTCACTGCCTCTTTCTTCTGCCTCCTGCTCACATGAATTAAACATCCTCCGCTAAGAGCATCCAGCAGCGCCGGAGCCGACCGGAGCCCGGCCCGGCCCGGCGGGAGGATGAGGAGCTCAGGGAGGAAGGACGGCGGCGTCACGGCGGGCGTCAACAGGCGCCGCGCTCAGAAATGCTCTGTTTGAAACAGCAACAGTTACTATAAATAGCAGCACATTGTTGCTCTGACATGCGCCGTGAAGGCATCACGAGGGCCGAGCCAGCACGTCTGGTTCTGCTCCATCAGAGAGATCCACTAAACCAAAGGTTTGCACAGAGAGATGCACAGAGGCTGGAGGCAGAAACAGTCCTCATTACTGTATGTGCACCCACTAGAACCCGTCCAGAACACGAGCAGAACCTCCGGCTCTGTTCTGTGATCCAGCAGCAGCTCTGCAGCAGAGACGTGCAGCTGATGACAGTAAGCTGAAGGACTCTGAGGATCAGAAACACGGTTCTGTTGGTGTCTAAGCTTTGTTCTCACTGGGAGGTTCTGCTGAGACGCCTGGTTCTGTGTGATGAGAGTCCAGCTGACAGTGATTCTGATCGGCTGTCTGAGGCCTCATCAGTCAGAGTCTCTGATAAAAGAGACGCTGTTGGATTTATTTTGGTTCCTCAGTCTGAGCTGCATCACCTCCACCAGCTCCAGAACATCAGCAGAACCTGAAGAAACCAGGACTCAACGACACCGAACCAAGCGCTCCACTCACTGAACATATTCTGTGTTTACAGTTCTTAAATTTACCAGATTTGTCTTCAACCTGCTCTGGGTCAACGCGAGCTAACGTAGCAGCTAATGGTTTTTTTTTAGGCTAAAGTTACCTGTTTGGCTAACATAGCGACTCTTGTTACTGGTTTAAGCTAATTTAAAAGCTAATATTATTTGTTCAGACTCATGCAGTGACTCATTTTACTTGTCTGGCTGAACTGATGGCTAATATTACCAGTTTGGGCTAACGNCAGACTGCTGATGTGGAAATTATGCAAAGTGTTGGAATGAATGAATGAATGAATGAATGAATGAATGAATGAATGGATCTAAAAGCTGCATAACAACAGTTTGAACATGATTTTTCAGTCCTTCATACACAAACGTTTGGACCCGATAGAGCCTCCATGAGTCACGTCGCCACTGAAGCAGCTGAAGGACTGAATGAAGTCGTGTCTGCTGGACTGGAGGTCTGTGGGACTGAAAACTTTGTCAGTTCCTCCATGAAGAGACTGTTTCTGGTTCCGTCAGACGGAGGATCCAGACGTTGGTTTGTCATCATGAAAGCAGCTGTTCTAAGAACACCTGAAGCTTCGCTCTGCAGATTCATGGTCCACAGAAGGACTGAACGAAGATCTGGCATCAATGGTCCAAACCAAACAGAGTCCCACTACCACAGGCAGTGGAGCCCCAGAAACAAACATCAGATGCCCTGTTGGACAAACTGGCGCTGGCCCGGATTAAAGACCCGACAGCTACACATCAGCCGACCCGCTGG